TTCAGGGGAAATCTTGGATTTCTCTCCGTTAGTGAAACAGGTGCTACTGCAGGACTTCCATAAGCGCCGAGCGGGTAAAGTGAATTTCTCTAAAGCGGGGGATACTGTAGTGATGTTTCCTCAGTGTACCCTGAGTAAAGCCTGTTTAGGTATGGAAGCCTCCTGGCAGTCCCACCAAGGTTTTCCAGACTGCGATCTTTCCAGAAGCAGTTAGCCTGGTCTTTCTTCCGACGAGCTGCTGACCGCGTTCAAACCAGCAATCCACGAGGCTACCAGACCACAGCGAACTGCGTGCCGCCACCCAAGGAGGCTGGAGTCGCCCTGCCTCAGAATCGCCGGGTCGGCGCCACCTTTGGCGTCTGGGGTTGCTGTTCCAGGAAAGCTCACCGGGTTGCAACCACAAGCGCGTTTCGACAGCAGTGCGTGGTGAGGCGTTTGGGGCCCCTGCGGTGTGTGAAGCGTCGAGCAGCTGCTCGCTGAGTCCACGACACCAACGCTCGCACTCTCCCTCGGACGCCCGCCTCTTCCCCGCACGCCCCTTCCTCGCTCCCGCTCCGGGACAGAGCTCGCTTGGCTGCGCCCCGACGGCCTGGCAAACACGGCACGAGCTCACAGGCAGAGCTCGGCCAGGCCCCGGCTGACACCCTGCCGCCTCCCTACAGCTCCGCTCAGCGGCCCCGGGTGGGAACGCCGGGCGGCCACGGACGCTCCCCGCCAGCAGGGAGCGCGTCGACCTGAAGCCCGGGCGGCTCTGGGGACGAACGGCCTGCAGGTAACTACCCCAAGACCTGGCGACCGGCACCCGGACTTCCACTCCCTGCTCCTGGGGCTGCCAAGGAGGCGCGAAGAAGGTGCCAGAAGCTACCGGGCACCGTGACGGCGCGGCCCGGCCGAGCAGGGCCGCGGCTCCCGGCACCTGGATGGCTCCGCCCCGCGGCGCACTCACCTGTGTCGAGGATTCCTCGGCCTCTCCCTGCGGCAGAAGGCTGAGCCTTCCTGGAGCAGCGGCGCCCACCGGCGGAGCCTCGGCCCCCGCCTCCTTGAGGTCCCCCATCACTCGGCCCTGGGAAGCCGCGGGCAGGAACCCGGGCCGGGCCGCGCAGCACCCTCAGCGGAGCAAACGCTAGAGACGTCCCTCCAACCGCACTTCCGGTCCCTGACGGGAAGGAGTGAGACACGATTAGATCTCGCGAGCTTTGTACAAGAGGCCCGCCCGGCCTCCTCCTTTGGGTGGCACCTTCGTGGCCCTGAGAGGCGAGGGACTGTAGTGCGCCTGCGTCTGTCAGAGGGTGTGCGGGGACCACTTCTCGCGATATCAGGCTCCCAGGCTCCACCCCCGGAACGCCGCTGGCCTTTGTTGGCAAACAGTTCTTGGGATGTGGACTCGTGGTAAAGTTGGCGAGTCTTGGCGGCCTTCCCTGACGGGGGCGTGGCGGGGAGGATGCTGCGCGCACTTTGAGATTAATGAAGTGTCAGAACAGCTTCCTCCCAGCCTCAAGGGCTATTTCCCAGGAAGGGAGTGACGATATTGGCCTGATAAACCCTGAGACCATGTTAATGTCCCATGAAGATTTATTTATCTTTTGAAGTATTTTAAGCTATGGCAGCCACTGAAACCATATTTTTAAGTAAACTGAACTTAAAACGCGACTTCCTGTTGTTGTATGACAAAGTTTTAAACCAAGATTGTAACAAAATAAAATGAACCTATTCAATGACTTTGTTCTCTTAAAAAAAAACATTAGTGAGAACAGAACTGTATTATTATTCATAAATGAAGTAAAAATATTTTAATTGTTGCTTATACTTTAAAATTTTGCTACTTTTTGTTTAATTAATGTATTACTGCCTGGTTTGTTAACCATTGCCTGGTTTGCAGTGGTTAAGCAGTCAGCTGCTAGTTGAAAGGTTGGTGGTTCAAACCCACTCAGAAGCTCTGTGGGAGACAGACCTGGCAATCTGCTCCTGTAGAGATGACAGCCTAGAAAACTCTATACAGCAGTTCTACTCAGTCACATGGGGTCACTACAGAGTCAAAATGGACTCAATGGCACCTAGCAACGAGCAATAACAACTAGTGTATAATTTAGAAATAAGTATATGTATATTCAGTGCAATTTCAGAAAGCTTGTTAGTAATGTGGATGGTAAAAAGTTTACAGACTACTGCTTTACAAAAAGACCACACAGAGTCTCTGGGTGCAAATAGTTAATGTGTTCAGCTGCTAACCACAAGGTTGCAAGTTCAAGTCTACCTAGATGTGCCTCAGAAGAAAGCAGGGCTTTGAATTGGTTGAAATCTGTTCAGTCGTGGTCAACAAAATGAAATTGGAACAGACCTGAATTTTAAAAATTTGGGTGAAGTGAATGATAATTTGAGTGAGAAAAATTAGAGGTCAAAGCCCTGGAATGTCAGGAAACTCAGAAGAGGTGTAGTGAGCCCTTTCAGGGGCCTGGTGCAAGATACTGGGTTACTGCCGGGACTGTGGAAAGGAATGCACATTGAAAGGAGCACATTCGGCCGCCATCTTTGAGTGCGGCAACATTGTTCCTGACTCTGTGGATCAGGAGACTGGTTGCTATGCAACACAAAAGATGCCTTTGTTTTCTAAGAGGGAGACTAAGTTTCTAGCAGAGCAATGACCTGTAATTTTTTCATTCCAGTTTTATTTCAGTTCACCCACATTTTACAAATTCACATTGGTTCTGGTTTTGCTTCATTAGCTGTGACTGAATTGGAAAGAACCAGTTTGAAGCCCTGGAAGAGATCATGTAGAAATTTCAATTTCCAATTCTCCTAGATTCATACTTTGTACATTCCTCAATCCAATTATGAATGGATGTTTGCAGCTGTTTCTCCTCATTTTGAGACATGCCACATCAGTAAATTAAGGTCTCGAAAGCTTGGCTCCATCCACATGGTCTGATGATTTGCTTTCCAAAAATCAGCCCCTGAAAACCCTCTGCAACAGTTATACTCTGACACACGTGGGGTCGCCATGAGTCAGAGCGGGCTCAAAAGCAAGGTTTAGACACACAGTGGTACCCCAACCCAAGTGCTAGCTACTTTCTGAATCAAGAACAACTAGCACATTAATGATCTAAAGGTTGGTATTCTTTCTGGTATTCTCTGCTTTCAGATAAGATCCATCTGACATCAGCAATGATATCTCTTGTTCCACAACTTCTTCTGAAACTGACTTGATTTTCTGGCAGTTCCCTGTTAATGTACTGCTGCAACCATTTTTGAATTATCATCAGCAAAATTTTACTTGTGTGAGATATTAATGATATTGTTTGTTAATTTCTGCATTCTGTTGGATCACTTTTCTTTGGAATGGGCACAAATATGGATCTCTTCCAGTAAGTTGGCCAGGGCTTCCAAATTTCTTGGTATAAATGAGTGAGTGCCTCCAGCACTGCATCGGTTTGTTGAACCATGTCAGTGGGTATTCTATCAATTCCTGCAGCCTTGTTCCTTCAGTGCAGCTTGAACTTCTTCCTTCAATATCATTGATCATATGCTACCTACTGAAATGGCTGAAGGTCAACCACTTCTTTTCGGTATAGTGACTATATTTCTTCCATCTTCCTTTGATGCTTCCTGCATTGTTCACTATTTTCCCCATAGAATCCTTTAATATTTTAAATCAAAGCTTGAATTTTTCTTAAATTCTTTCTGTTAGGGAAATACCAAGGGTGTTCTTCCCTTTCTATTTTCTACCTCCCGGTCTTTGTACATTTCATTATAATACTTTCCTTTGTTCAAGCTGCCCTTTGAAATCTTTTGTTCAACTCTTTTATTTCATCATGTCTTCCATTCACTTTAGCCCCTTTCTGTTCAAGAGCAAATTTCAGAGTCTCTTCTGACATCCATTTCAATCTTTTCTTCCTTTCCTGTCTTTTCAATGACCTTTTGCTTTCTTCATGTGAGATGTCCTTGATGTCATTTCACAACTTGTCTGGTCTTTGCTCATTGGTGTTCAGTGTGTCATATCTATTCTTCAGAAGCTCTCTAAATTGAGGTGGGATATATTCAAGGTCATATTTTGGCTCTCATTTTAATTTTCTTCAGCTTCAACTTAAACTAGTATATGAGCAATTAATGGTCTGTTCCACAGTTGGCCTATTGAGATGCTCCATTGTCTCTTTCCATAGATGTAGTTGATTTCTTTCTTATATATTCCATCTGGTGAGGTCCTTGTGTATAGTGACTGTTTATGCTGTTGAAAAAAAGGTATTTGCAATGAATAAGCCATTGTTCTGGAAATTCTATCATGTGATCTCCAGCATCATTTCTATCAACAAGGCCATATTTTCCAACTACCAATGCTTCTTCTTTATTTCCAACTTTCATGTTCTAATCACTAATAATTACCAATGCACCTTGATTGCACATTTTGTCAATTTCAGATTGCAGAAGTGGTAAAAATCTTCAATTTCTTCATCTTTGGCTCTAGTGGTTGGTGAGTAAATTTGAATAATTAGTCATATTAACTGGTCTTCATTGTAAGCATATGGATATTATCCTATCACTGACAGCATTGTACTTCAGGATAGATCTTGAAATGATCTTCTTGAAGATGAATGTTACACTATTCCTTTTCAATTTGTCATTCCCTACACAGTAGACCATAGGATTGTCTAATTGAAAATGGCCAATACCAGTCCATTTCAGCTCATTTATGCCTACAATATCAACCTTTATGCATTCCATTTCAATTTCCAATTCTCCTAGATTCATACTTTGTACATTCCTCAATCCAATTATGAATGAATGTTTGCAGCTATTTCTCCTCATTTTGAGACATGCCACATCAGTAAATTAAGGTCTTGAAAGCTTGGCTCCATCCACATCATCGAGGTCAACTCCACTTTGAGGAGGCAGCTCTTCTTCTTTGAGTGTCTTCCATCCTGAGTGGCTCATCTTCTGGCACTATGTCAGACAATGTTTCATTGCTATTCATAAGACCAATTTTTTCAGAAGTATAACTGGCCACATCCTTCTTCCTGGTCTGTCTTAGTCTAGAAACTCTGCTAAAAGCTGTCCACCATGGGGGACCCTGCTAAGATTTGAAGTACTCGTGGCATACTTTCTAGCAACACACACACAACCACTGTCGGCAAACTGAAATGTTCTTTTTGATGATGAATGCAATACAATTTCTCTTAAATTTGTTATTCCCAACATAGTGGAGCAAATGTTTGTCTGATTCAAAATGACCAATACATGTCCGTTTCAGCTTACCAGTCAATATTCAGCTCATACTTAGGCTATCAATCTTTATGTGTTCCATTTCATTTTTGACAACTTCCAATTTTCCTATTTATTTCAATATTTCCAGTTTTGCGCCTGACCCAAGTCTTGGTATTTTCAGTTGCTTCATATGCATGTGAGAGATGTACAATGAATAAGGAAAGCCAAAGCAGAGTTGATGCCTTTGAATTGTGGTGTTGGAGAAGAATACTGAAAATACTATGGCTTGCCAGAAGAACGAACAAACCTGTCCTGGAAGAAGTATAGCCAGAATGTTCCTTAGAAGTGAGAATGGCCAGACTTCATCTCATCTACTTTGGTCATATTGTCAGAAGGGACCGTTCCCTGGAGAAGGATATCACACTTGACAAAGTAGAGGAGAAGACCCTCAATGAGATGCATTGTCACAGTGGCAGCAATAATGAGCTCAAGCATAGCAAAGACTGTGGGAATAGTGCACGACTGGGCAGTGTTTCATTCTGTTGTACACAGGGTCGCTATAAGTTGAAGCCGAATCAACAGCACCTAACAACAACAAGAATAACAATTTTCATAGACTCATATTTTGCACATTCCACGTTCTGATTCCTGATGGATGTTTGCAGCTGTTTCTTCTTGTTTTGAGTCATGCCACATTAGCAAATGAAGGTCCCGAAAGCTTTACTCCATCCTATTAATTTGGTCGACTCTGCTTTGAGGAGGTAGTTCTTTCCCAGTCGTGTTTTGAGTGCTTTCCAACCTGAAGGGCTCATCTTCTGGTGCTCCATCAGACAATAGTCACCTAATACACATAAAGTT